GGCGCTTTCCACTTTCCTCCTCCTCCTCCTCCTCCTCCTCCTCCTCCTGCCCCTCCTGCCCCTCCTCCGCCTCCTCCTCCTCCTCCTCCTCATCCTCCTCCTCCCCGTTCTCGTCCTCTTCGGGCCTCCTGGAAGCTTCTCGGCGCCGAGCTTGGTGCTCGTGGGAACCTCGTCCTCCCCGTTCTCGTCCTCGGAACCTCATCCTCCCCGTTCTCGTCCTCTCGTGCTCCGAGCTTGCTCCTCGGAACCTCCTCCTCCTCCTCCTCCTCCTCCGAATTAGGTGCTTTGAGCTGTCGCGGGCGCGTTCTCTTATGCCCTGCTGCCCCGGGAAACTCGCGAGCGTAAAAGTAAAAAAAACATTCGGCGCACTTGTCTTTCTGCGCTAATTGCTGTGGCGCATGTGCTTGTTCACTCGGTGTCTTGGACACCTCTGCTGCCCAAACCTGTCCTTCGGTTAGGGGCTTGCTCCGCCTGCTTCCCCCCCTGGGTCCCCCCTTCGCCCTCGAATCAACGCGACACTGCTCCCTGCGGTCAGCTGGTCTTCATTGCGGCGAAGCTCCCCATGCGGGGCTCGTGCCCACCTCCACTGGGTCAGCGCTGATGGTCCAATCTTGCCCTGCAGCGTTGTAATTCTGAGACGCCCTTTACATGGGCATCCGACACGCAGGTAGCTTGTGGTATCTCTACGATGCCTAAGGCCGTTTTTGCTTCTGGTGCTGAGCGCCCGTTTCTCCCTTCCCTGGCTTTTTTTCCTAGCCAGGTCGGCGCACGCCCGCTGGGCCTTCGAGCCCCCCACGCCCTCCTCCCACGGGGAGTGGTCGTACTGCGCCTGGGTCATGGGCCTTCGCCCGCAGGCTTTTTTCTCTTGCACTCACAGTTCGCATCATGCCGTTTCGTGTTGTGCGCAGCGAAAGGCTGACAATAAGCCTCATATGGCTCAGGGATCAAGGATCCCCCTCGCGTCCCCGTGGGGGCCCGGCCTGGGAGGGAGCCCCCCCTGGCTTCCCAGGCCCTGTCCCCCCTCGTGGCCCCCCCGGGCCCTCCCGCTCCCCCCCCCCCCTGGGCCGCGGAACCCGTTATTTTCGTCGCGGTCGTTCGTCCTCTTTTCGATTCTCTGACCCCCCTCACCCACCCACCCCCCTGGGCCGCGCATTCTTGCATTTTGGTCGTAATCGTTTGTCGCGGTCGCTCGTCCTCCCCCCGCCCCTCGCCTCCCTGCCCCCCCCCCCTTTGGCCTCCCACCCACCCCTGGGCCGCGGAACACGTTACTTTCGTCATGGTGGTTCGGCGTCTCTCACCCCTCCCCTTCACCCCCGACCCTGCCCCCCTCCCGCCTCCCCCGAAGTCTTGGTCGGGGAGCACCCCCCTCCTGGGTCCCCCTCTCTCCTGACGCCCCTGGCCTCCCCAGGGAGGAGGGAGGAGGGAGGAGGGAGGAGGGAGGAGGGAGGAGGAGGGAGGAGGGAGGAGGGAGGAGGAGGGAGGAGGGAGGAGGGAGGAGGGAGGCCCCTGGACCGCCGCGAACCCTTCTTTTCGCCGCGGCCGTTCGTTGTCCCCCTTGGTGTCCCTGGCCTCCCCCTGTGGGTCACCGGTCGGGGGGGCCCCCCCTGGTCGTTCGTCCTCCCCCCTCGCGCCCTTGCCCAACCTCCTCCTCCTCCTCCTCCTCGCTCCTCGCTCCTCGCTCCTCCTCCTCCTCCTCCTCCTCCTCTCCTCCTCCTCCTCCTCCTCGCTCCTCGCTCCTCCTCGCTCCTCCTCCTCCTCCTCCTCCTCCTCCTCCTCCTCCTCCTCCTCCTCCTGGACCCGGGCCTCCCCCACGGCACCGCCATATCGATAATGATGTGCGGCGCACAGTCGTGGACAATAACGGAACCTTTGAATCAACAGCTACGCCGCACGCAACGACGGATGGTCAGGGCGATTATCGGGACACCGCGGCGACGCACGACAGCAGCACCACCAACGCATGTCACCCCCCCTGCGACGGGCAACCCTAACAGTCACGACCTCGACGGCGACGCCCCGGACGACCCCCGCGGACACGGCGCATCCAGCAACCCGCCAATTCCGTCTGACCCACCCCAAACAGCTGAAGGCAGCATCGACAGGCCCCAGCCGACTCAGACACACCGATAGGCGGCAGGCGATGCCAATGTATGGCCTGGATACATCTGCCAGAGCAACCGCAGAGCTGAGGAGCTCATGGTCGTGCACGACATCGCAGACGGGGCGCAGCTGCATCGCAGAATCGTTTGGCGCTGGGCAGCACGTGTAGCCGTCCACCCACCCGAGAGGTGGACGCAACGAGCATTGAATTGAAACCCGAGTATGGCCACGAATCGACAGGGATATCGACAACAAGGCGGCCAGAACAAACACCGAGACCATGAGATGCGGAAATGTATGCGCAACGTGCATCGACATGTGAAGGAATATCGAGTACTGGCGAGACAGTAGCGACGCCACCCAACCGCGACGGTACGTCCACCGCGACACCATTGACGCGAGATTGATCACAGCGGCGACGACGAAGACGACATGGTGGATCTCACTCGAGAGCGCCTTCGTCACGATTACCCCATGATGTACACGCTTTTACATATCCACAACGCGGTAACACTGCCAGAACAGACCACCCGACCAGAAACCTTGGCCACCGACGACCAAATATCCACGATTGGAGCCCTGCGCCAGCAACAGCGCCGAACCCCGTGCAGACCACCAGCGCCGACTCCACCCAGCGACGCGGCACCATCAACACACGGCGACATCGACAACAAGCATTCCTTCTCTTCTTCCTCCTTGGTCTACGTAGCCTTTTTTATATGGGCCGTGTGCGTATCGCAACACATATTGCAATATCTCGAGGCGAAAGCATCACCGAGTCTCACGAGGCCCGGACACTTGTCCGCATTGGTGGCTCGTTCGTTCGTTCCTTGGCCTCCGCCCCATGGGCCGCGGAACTGTTCTAATCTTGCAGTTTTGATCGGGGAAGTCGAGGTCTTTTTCCCTACATAGACTCTGCCTAGAAGGGTTCTTACTCTCTTAGCTTAAAGGGCCGGGCAGTGCTAACCGCCCTGGGCGGTTCCCCCAGTCCCCGCCCCGCGGTTCCCCCAGTCCCCTAAGAGCTTTAGCTTTAGCTTAGCTTTAGCTTAGCTGTAGCTTAGCTTCAGCTTAGCTTTAGCTTAGCTTTAGCTTGGCTTCAGCTTAGCTTTAGCTTAGCTTTAGCTTGGCTTTAGCTTAGCGACACCTTAGCGTTAGCTTAGCTTTAGCTTAGCGTTAGTGTTAGCTTTAGCTTAGCTTCAGCTTAGCTTTAGCTTAGCTTCAGCTTAGCTTCAGCTTAGCTGTAGCTTAGCTTTAGCTTAGCTGTACCTTAGCTGTACCTTAGCTTTAGCTTAGCTTTAGCTTAGCTTTAGCTTGGCTTTAGCTGAGCTTTAGCTTAGCTGTAGCTTAGCTTTATCTTAGATTTAGTTTAGTTTTAGCTTAGCTGTAGCTTAGCCTTTACCGTAGCTTTAGCTTAGCTGTAGCTTAGCTTTAGCTTAGCCTTTACCGTAGCATTAGCTTAGCTTTAGCTTAGCTTTAGCTTATCTGCACCTTAGCTTTAGCCCAGGTTTAGCTTAGCGGTAGCTTAGCCTTAGCTTAGCCTTAGCTTAACTTTAGCTTAGCTTTAGCTTAGCTTTAGCTTAGCTTTAGCTTAGCTTAGCTTAGCTTTAGCTTAGCTTTAGCTTAGTTTTAGCTTAGCTTTAGTTTAGTTTTAACTTAGCTTTAGCTTAGCTTTAGCTTTACTGTTCGTACGAATGCTGCTTTCCTAGGGGCTCCAACTCCTATGTGGGGTCGCACTGGGATAATTATTTTCGTCGCGGTCGTCGTTCGTCTATCGTGACCCGATCGCGCAAGAACTGGCCACACGTGCCAGTTGTTTTCATGTCGGGACGGGCAACGTTGAAAGACAACCGTTTGAGAATTGTTAATCGTGCCCCAAACACGATTGCTGGGACTTCGACGCCGCGAATCAACATGACAGTTGCGTCTTGAATTCTTCAAATCGTGCCAGGACACCGTGCCTAGGATTCCAACACAGTGAATCAACGTGACTGTTGCGTCCTGACATTCTTATCAACCGCTCCAGAACCCCATTGTTGGCCTTCAGACCCAACGAGTCCTTGAAACGGTTGCAGATGTTTACAAACGAATTGGCGCGTTGCTGCAGCGAGAGCCACAGTTTGAAAAGGAACCGTGTTCCAGCCTTGAGACGCACACATTTAAGACGAATGTACGCGGTGCTAATGCGAGAGCCACATTTTGAAAAAGACCCGTCCTCCACCCGTGAAACGGCTGCAAATATTGAGACGATTGTGCGCGGCATTCATGCGTGAGCCATATGTTTTAAACCACATTCCCGCCCGTCTTTGGGATTGTTGCAAATGTTTAAGACAATTGCGCGCGGCACTTGGGCGAGGGCCATCATTTGACAACAACCCGCCATCCGCCATCCATCTTCTTGCTGTAAACTTTAAAAGCGAATGTGCGAGACGCAAGAAAAAAACGTTTTTAACCACCCGTCCTCCATCCTGGAAGGTGCTGCAGAATTTAAGCTTCAGGATCATCAGCGTCAAACGAGTCTCAGGCGAAACACACGCCCCCCCCCACCGACACGTCCGGGGGCGTGGCACGGAGGAGTGACTTATAAGGAACAGAGATGGAGGAGGAGAAGGAGGAGGAGAAGGAACAGCAACAGCAACAGGTAAGGACCCAGCCATCCAAAGTGTTGAAGAACAGCAGCGCAAGCTGGTGGTCTTGTTCGCAGCCTTCGCTGGAAAACCTGAGCACCAAGGCGGCGCTCACGGCTTTCGGCCTATGGGGGCCGCCTTCGTGCCCGGGGGCCACCATCCGTGAGCTCTCCTTGACCAGCCCCCGCCGCCAGAGGTCTGCGGCGCGAGGAGTGGGGCGAGGAGGACCGTCACGGTCTCCCTGCCCGCGCCCCCTCCCCCCCCGCGGGGCCGCAGGCCCAAGGACCCGGTCGCGGCCGAGACGGGCGTGGTGGAGACGACGTGTGAGCCGTTGATGTTCAGGCCGCCGTGGCGGGGAGTGCGGAGGCGGAGGGGAGGGAGCGGGGGGAGGGGGAGCAGGCCCGGGGCCAGGACCAGGAGGGGGGAAGCGCAGGAGGGAGCAGGACGGGGTGGGGAAAGCGGAAGCAGGAGGAGCAGGAGGAGCAGGAGGGGGAGCGCGAAGGAGGAGGAGGAGGAGGAGGAGGAGGAGGAGGAGCGCGAATGAGGAGAAGCAGGAGGGGGCGCAGGAGGGGGAGCAGGAGGGGGGTAGGAGGGAGTGGAGAGGTCTGTTTTGCTGCTGAATCCTGAGTCCTGGAGGCAGGAAAGTCGTTCAGACGTTGCCCTCCTCCTGCTCCCCTTCCTTTTCGGATGATCCAGATCAGACTGAAGGAGTGCAATGAGGCGAAGAATCACAGGTTGAGGAAGAGGGGAGGAAGCAGCATGCGGAGATCAATCGGATGAATGGGATAAATGGGATGCTGATGATGATGGTGATGATGAGGATGAGGATGATGAGAATGAGGATGCAAATGAGAATACACATGAGGATGCTAGCGAGGATGGCGGTGATGATGACGATGTTGGTGGTGGTGATGAAGATGATGTTGATGATGATGATGATGATGATGATGATGAGGATGGTGATGATGATGCTGATGATTGTGGTGATGAGTGATGTTGATGGTGACGACTGAGATGATGAGAATGACGTTGATGATGAGCGTGATGATGAGCATGATGATGATGATGATGATGATGATGATGATGATGCCGTTGAAGGTCATGGTGTTGATGATGGTGACGATTGGGATTATCATGATGATTATGATGATCATGTGATGTTGATGATGATGCGGATCATGATATTGGTGGTGGCATGATGATGATAGTTATGTTGATGACGATGATGAGGATGAGGATGACGATGGTAATGATGATTATGATGACGACGATGATGATTGTGATGGCGATGACGATGATGATGAGGATGCTGATGATGAACATGATGATGATGATGGTGGTGATGATGATGATGATGATGATGGTGGTGGTGGTGATAATGATGATGGTGGTGGTGGCTGGTGGTGGTTGTGATGATGATGACGACAACGACGACGAAGGTAATTGCTCTTGCGCTGGCCAAGGTCTCGCGCGTTGGCTCGCCTATTGCAGGTTCGCCCACAGGTGATTCTGGGCTTGCCTAGTGCATGTGCTAGGGTACTGTTGGCGTGTCTAGTGAACGAACAATCCGAAACGAAAGAAAACGGGAGAAGGAGGCGGAGGGGGAGGGGGACGCAGCGATCACCCGCGTCGGCACTGGGAGGAAGGAGCACTGGGCCTCTGCCCACACCTCGTGCGAGGCAGCGACGGCCGTGTGTGGCCCGGGCGCAGCCTTCCCATGCTCTCCCCATCCCCTCCTTTCCCGCCCCCCCTTCCTTCCACCGCCTCTCCCTCCTTTTGCCTCCCAGACATCCGAAGAGCGAATCGGAAGAAACAGCATGAGCATAGTGATCGCGTTTTGTTGTTCATTGTTTTGCCTATCGGCGCGGGCCCGTCGCACCCCCCCTCCCCCTCCCATGGAGTAGATCGTGGCTGCTGCTGGCGCCTGTTTCGAGCAGGTGGAGTCTCCCCCCGTAGGACGCACTGTCTCAAACAGTCGCACTAAGCAGAGGTCCGGAGCCAGACCCCCCACCCTCCCCCCCCCCCTGTTCCGCCAACTGCCGAATCGCCGAATAAGAAAACGCTCATATAGACTTTCGGAGCTCCGCTCGGATTTCTTGGCTCGGCGCTGGGCCCCAATCCCTGGCGCGAGGGGGGGCCGCACGGGGCGGCGCTGGAAGCGCTGCCGAGGGCTCCAGCGCCGATCCAAGAGATCCGCGCGGACCTCCGAAAGTTTGTGATTATGCAACTTGCTCGTTTTCTGGAAGGTGTGTGTGTGTTATATGTGCGGCCCCAGATGTCCAGAGCCCTTCCCCTGGTGCAGTTTTGTCGCCACCGGATCCGTTGCTGATTGCCCCAGAGCCCGAAAACGGTCGCCGCGGGTCCAAACCGAGGAACAACGCCGGGATTGAAGAAATTCACATCGTCGGAGATCTGGGCTCCCCTCTACTCCGTCCCCTCCCTCTCAGCCACGCGCAGAGGGGGGCGGGGGAAGGGGGGAGGGCTTCTCAGAAACACCCCTGGTTGTCAGAAGGCGCAGGCCTTCATCTATAGCTGTAAGGCCGGCGCTTGTCTGCAGCCTCCTGCTACGTAGCCTTCACCCCTCCCTCCACCCCCTTGTGCGCGCCGCCAGCGCCCGCTGGGGGAGGGGAGGCTCCCAGGGCACGCCAGAATCCTCAGACCGCTCGCGGAGGAGAAGGCGGAGGCCCGCGTGGGCTCGCAGCGCGGGCGGGGGGATCTGCGGGGGGCGCCTCTCGAGGAGGAGAGTGCTGCATGAGCTCAGGCATTGGTGAACCGATCCGTACCCCCATCTCCATCCCCACCGCGATCCCCACCATCCCACCACCCCGATCCACCCCGACCCCCACCATCCCACCATCCCACCATCCCCCACCCCGATCCCCACCATCCCCACCATCCCACCCCGATCCCACCCCGATCCCCACCCCGATCCATCCCCACCCCGATCCCCACCCCGATCCATCCCCACCCCGATCCCCACCATCCCACCACCCCAGTGGGGGATGTGCCCCTCGAGACCAGGAGGGAACGGCCCAACAGCCCCACCCAGGGGGGGTACATCGCCCAGTGGGGCCCCAGCCGCGCCCGTGGGGATACGTAGTGGTCAAACGATGCTCCATAAGCATACTCCAGATTTCGTAATAAAAGGGAGAGGGTCTGGACCCTCCAAGACAAGCCATTTCAGACCTCCCCCGTGGGAGAGCCCTCCAAAACATCGTCCCCAGACCCCCCAGGCCCTCCACGATGGCCTGGAAGAGACCCCCCCCCCCGAAATGAGACCCCCCTCCCTTTATTACGAAATCTGGAGTACCCGCCGCTCGCTGAATGTAGCATTGTGTGCTCGGCAGCGCCCCCAAGGGAGTGGCCAGAGGGGGGGGCTTCTAAGCAGGCGGGGGGGCTTTAGAAAGGCAAGGGGCCTTCCTGAAGAGGTCGGGAGGTTTCTCAGAAGGGGCCTCAGAGGCCGCGAGCGCCTCTGAGAGGCCGCATGCCCTCTGAGAAGCACCCCCGCCTTGCGGCCCCCTCGCGCCACGCCCTTGCTGGCGCCGAGGATTGCTGGATTCCCAGATTCCAGTATGTCTGGGGCGCCTTGCAGTCAAGACGCTGAAATAAGGAACAGTTTGGGTTCGGAAGGGGCTCGATGTCCCTTAGGTTCCTCCAGTGCTGTTCCTCTTGCCCTCCTGGGGCACGGAGGCGCTTACAGGGCCAAGAAGGGGCTTCGTTCCTTATTTAGCGTTCCTTCTTTCAGCGGCCCGACTCTATGTCTGAGGCTCCTTACTTTGCCCAAACTTGATTGGGTGCCCCTTTTCCTTCTTTGTCTGGGGTCGGGCGGAAGCCCAGTTTACTTCAGACGTATTGGGGCTTGTTTCTGCGCACTTCATCGAACGATGCGTGCATGTCGAAGCTTCGCGCGGCTTTCTCGGATCGGCGCTTGACTCCCTTGGCGGCGCCGCCTATGGCGCGTTGTGCGTGCCAGAGAGGGGTGGTCCAGCGCTGATCCAAGATGGGAGGAGGAGGACGACAAGGAGGAGGCGAGAAGGACGAGGGGACGGAGAGGAAGTGGGAGGAGGAGGAGGAGGAGGAGGAGGAGGAGGAGGAGGAGTCCTGAGGAGGAGGAAGAGGAGGAGAAGGCAAAGGAAAATAATTTATAATAGTAAGAGTCAGGTGAGTAAGAGTTCCAGGACGTTGTCCTACCACATTCGCTTGCCCCCAACCACCTCAGGGCTGCCCGAGCGCCACGGCGACCCCGTAGCAGAAGGTGGTGCCGCCGCCAGAGGGCGAATGGCACGATGAGCATGGGTGCCTTCACCATATGCAACGTTTCTCGCCCCCAGCCGCCTGCAGAGAGAGTGCTCCCGAGAGCGATGATAGAACGAGCAGACACCAACGAAGAACCGAGGTGCATGGAAGTTGAACAGACGGACGAAGAGAGAACGAACACAGAGCAGTCGTGCCGTAGACATGCCACGAACAGGTTTGTTCCCGTGGGCACAGACAGAGCCGGTGTACCTGCCACCCCGACGTCGATGAGGGCACTGCCGCAAAGTGCGTGTTCTCCCATGCACGTCTGAACACCCTTGGAACGACGCCACGTCGCCTGCCGGAGCCTGAGAGAGGATAGCGGAGTTGGCATGCTCCGTCATTGCATGTGGTATTCCACTGAGCGAGAGTAAGATAATGCACCAAAATATTGGTAGTACCAACATTGCGCCAACCACGGTAGACAGCCGAACTCTTTACATGTTGCCCCGCCCGTAGCCGATCCGAGCCTGAAGAACAAGTCCGAAGCTGCGGTAAGTCACAAACACGCCGCGCTGAGGCGACGGGGCAGGATTCATGACACCCTTGAGCAAAAAATGATCTACGTGCTTTGGGCCCTTTGTGTTTGAGAAGAAGAAGACGACGAAGAAGAAGAAGGGTTGGAGAGGGAGGAGGAGACAGGATGGGCTGAAAGGGAGGCGGGAGCTGGGGGAGCAGAAGCGGGTCAGAAGGACAATGCAAGATGACGCAGTTGCGGACGGTTGGTGAATGACAAAACGTGGACACATACGTAAGAAGGGATTTCGTACAGAAGCACTGTCATGACAAGCGCGGGCAGAGGATGCAGGAAGCGCGGTCGAGCCGCTGGGCCAATGGCGAGATCGTTCAAGACAACATCTCCTCCTCCTCCTCCTCCTCCTCCTTTCAAGACAGACACTGGCCAGCAGAGAACAGAGTTCATTGCATAGCCGCCGAGACTCTACAGGCTTACGCCACATCCGCCGACCCCTTCTGTGAGTGTTGCGAGGCCAGGAGTTTCTGGCCAGCGGCGTCGTGTGTGAGGGTGCGGTGTCGCGCGCGGGTGGTGGCAGATACGTAGGGGGTTCAAATGTTTGCGTGATGCCGGTGGTCTGGGGCGTGTTTTGCGAGCGCTTTGCGTGCTGTGCACCCGGGTGCGGGGTGTCCTTCTGGGAGGTCGGCCTTTCGACCCGCAACCAAGTGGAGGAGCACTGGAAGACGAAAGGAGCAAGAGTAGTGTGTGGAAGCTGTGATCAGCGAAGCATCACAGCGAAAGATGTGGCAGATGAATCGAAACGGGTGAAGAGGCTGTTGACGTTCGCAGCGCGCACGAAACAGTTCGCGCGGCAGCCGCACATTAGCGCCGAGCAAGATAGTGAGCACGTCGCGAGGAAGAGTAAGGTTGTATGCGCGGAGTGCATTGCAGTTGGCGTGACGGCTCGCAATACGGAAGCGTCTGGGGGTCTTTTGGGGGCCTCCTGGGGGCCTCTTGTGGGCTCCTTGGGGCGTCTTGGCGGTTTCTTGAGGGCCGTTGGCGGCCTGTTGGGGCGCTCTTGGGGCCCCCTGGGGCTCGTGGGGGCGGAAAGCTAGATTTTTGAATTGTTGGTTGCCCTCTTGGGCCCCTCTTGGTGCCGTCTTGGAGCCTTCTTGGGCCGTTTTGGGGACCTCTTGGGCCGTCTTGGGGCCATATTGGACCGTCGCGGGGCCGTCTTGGGGGCCTCTTGGGCCGTCTTGGGGCGGTTTTCGGGGCCTCTTGGGCCGTCTAGGAGCGTCGGACAGCCCAGAATTTCACGACGGGAATACGTACATGTCTGCGTCCAGGGACCGTTTTGGGACGCATCTTGGGGGCCTCTCAGGGGCGTGTTGGGCCATCTGGAGGCCATTTCGGGTGTCTTCGATCGCTCTTGGACCGTGTGGGACCATGTTGAGCTCTCTTGGAAGCCACTTGGAGCGCTCTTGGGGCCGTCATCGGGGCTCTCTTGGGCCGTCTTCGGCGCCGCTTGAGCTGTCTTAGCGCCTTGTTGGGCTGTCTTGCGGCCCTCTTGGAGGTTTCTTGGGCCGTCTTGGGGCATCTTGGGCCGTCAGGAGGCCATCTTCGGTGTCTTTGATCGCTCTTGGGCTGTCTGGGACCATATTGAGCTCTCTTGGAGGCCACTTGGGGCGCTCCTGGAGCGCTCTTGGGGCCCTTTTCGGGGCCCTGTTGGGCCGTCTTGGACGCTTGTTGGGCCGTCTTGGGGCCCTCTTGGGCTATCTTGGGACCCTCTTGGAGGTTTCTTGGGCCGTCTTGGGGCGGTCTTCGGGGCCTCTTGGGCCGTCTTGGAGCGTCGGAAAGCCCAGAAAGCGAATTTGTGAAACATATACGTTTTAGGAAGGGAATGGGCCAATTTTTGCGTCTAGGGACCCTCTTGGGACGCATCTTGGAGGCCTCTTGGGGCCTCGTGGGGACCTCTTGGGCCGTCTTGGAGGCCTCTAGGCTCGTCTTGGGGCCATCTTGGGCGTGTGGGAGCGCTCGTTTGGCGTCTCGGGGCCCTCGTGGGCCGTCTTGGAGGCCTCTTGGAGCCTTCTGGGCCCGTCTTGATCCCCTTTTGGGCCCAAAAGGGCCCCGTGACGCGCTCGTGCTGGGCCCGGGGGGGGGGGGTCAAATCTCCGGTTTGGGGTCCCTGGGGGGGGATTATGGGGGGGGGACTATCTCACACGCCTAGAGACCCACAAGGGGTCGGCGGATTGTCACGAGCCGCTGAGCAGGAGTGGGGCGGCAGTTCGCATGTCCCCGCATTGACGATACTCGCCATGAAGCACACGGGGCCCGAGGGGAAACAGATTCTGAGGTTGGTCGCCAGTCTCGGGCTTTCGAGACGTTCCACAGGCCTTGGGACCGTCCGATTCGGTATGAAACGTCCATCCTGGGGCAAGGCGCTTGGGTCCAGGATCCGCTTCCCTCAGCACCCGTTGGCATCTGAAGAAAAGGAAAGTTCCGTTGCTTCTGATGCAGCACGAAGTCTTGGAATTGCTTGTTTGCACAGACGCACATGCCCGCGTGGAAAATAATTCGTTTGTTGTTGTCGTTTGGCAGTCACTTGGCCAGCCCGGGGTAGAGTCGATTGCGAGCGTGTGGTGGTCAAGGTTGCCGTGATGTGCATGGAGCAGTGGCTTACCGCGGCGATATCGACAGGGATCCGCAATAGATACAGCGGAAGCAGGAGCCTCACCTCTACCTTATACCATTAATTCGCCTTCCCCCATCTTCGCGAGTCAGCTGGCCTGCTGGCTTAGGCGCAATGGGTTCGCAACGCAGTGGTTTTCTCTGCAGTGCCCTTTCCGTCATCACCCTCCCTGTCCTCGTCCTTTTATCGTTATTTGTTTGTGCCCGTCCTTTTAGCAGGCAAGACAAGACGGGTGGAGGTCTGCATTGGTGATCGGTTGCTGCTCAGCGGCGCTGAAAGACGACTGGAAGGTTCGCCAGCGGTGCGGGCGGTTTGTTGAAAGCTCAGGAGGAGAAAGAGGAGTATGAACAGTACAATTTGTAGTTCAGAAGGGGCAGCGAAACAATCCCCAAGATCTGGCCGCCGCTGCGCTTGCCAAGTGCAGCGCCAGCAGCTTGCAGGGACAGTGCTCCCCAGCTGTTTGCTCAGGAGCTGGCCTAGTTTGGTGAAGGTGGGCCCAATGGCTGGCTCGGAGATAGGTTGATGGCCGGACCGAGGTAAAAGATCGACGTCGGTTCGGGGAGGGCACCTTAGTGTTGTTCGGGTTTGTTGGATTTTCTTGTGCATCCTTGGGAGGGTACCCTTGGCGGTTCTGTGCGGTTTGGCCGGCGGAGGGTCTCATGTTCTTGAAGGATGTTTTTTGTCCGAGGTCCGACGGTGTTAGTATATTGCCTGTGCTTGAGATGACAGCTCTCGCGTGTGCCGCCCTCCCCACCGCTGGCCTCCCCCACGACGCCGCGAGGCCCCCCTGCCCAGGCCCCACTGGCCTCCCTCCCCCGACGCGAAGGAGGCAGATACTCCAGATTTCGTAATAAAAGGGAGGGGGTCTGGACCCTCCAAGACAAGCCATTTCAGACCTCCCCCCGTGGGAGAACCCGCCAAAACATCGTCCCCAGACCCCCCAGGCCCTCCAAGATAGCCTGGAAGAGACCCCCCCCGAAATGAGACCCCCCTCCCTTTATTACGAAATCTGGAGTAAGCAAGTTTGCGCAACGGCGGCTGCGTGCCACAAGCCGGCCAACGCCTTGGCTGCCTCGAGACGTCCGCTCGGACAAGCGCCACACGCGCCGTGCTCAGAAACTCCGGGACAGCACGCCGCGTGCTGGCTCGGCACATGTGGGCCCCACGTGTCGGCGAACGCCTCGCGCCAGACCTGCGTGCTCAGTCTACGCCTTGAGCTCCGTGTCGATACGCTACGTGCTGCGTGTGTCGCGCATCGAGGCAGCTGAGACCAACACGCGTGCGACATGGTTCCCCTCGCGTACGCCGAACCCCCTCAACCGGGTAGTATGTTTTGCTCGTCGGCGCCGTCGGCTTCTGGAGACGAATTTGGAAGCTCTTGCGCTGCTTGGGGTGCGGGAGCTGGAATCACTCAGAAGGGGAGGTGCCCCTCCTTCAAAGATTTGGGCTGAACCAGGAGAGATATTTGGGCGATTGCTTTAGGTAAACTAGCCGAGGGAAAGTCAGGACCTGAAGAAGCGATTGTACAGTTTCATCCAAGAGCCCTTTCCCCTCCTCCCAGTCACACGCGCGCACACCAACACAGTACATCATGATCATCGGCATCGGGTCCTGTCAGAATGAGCGGCGTGGATGCCGCTGGATGTGTTTGACGCTGCCTCCGCCCCCAAGTGTGCAGGAGGGCCGCTGGGCTGTGGGCAGGATCAATTAGTTCTGTTGCCAGGTGGCGATATTATCTAGCCTCTGTGTTCATGCAGTGTGCCTTCGGTAGTCGCGGTCTTTCTTCCCGCCCTTCTCGAAGGCTGCGCACCCCAATGGCGAGAATTGGCCACGAATTAGACATGACAGCACGTGGACATGTCAAAGAGGGACAGCGCCGGAAGGCACAGTGGCCGAGGTCGTGTCGGCGCACTCAGAGGACAACGGGGGATTTTTTCGGCATGGCAATGTAAGCTCGGCGCATCTGACAGATGTACTGGTAACAGAAGAAAGGGTTCGGAGCCGTTGACATTATCGATGCATGTCATATCGGATACTCGAAGTGTGGTTATAGCGATTTTGGCGACTTGGGGCGATCAAGAAGATAAGCATTACATGGTTACGGTAGGGGAGCGTTCAGGATACAGGTTCCGAGTGGTCATCTCTGCGGGTCACCTCAGTAGCTCGTTTTGCGACCAGAAGCTTTCAGAGTACGTGCGCGCGCGCGTCCATCAACCATGTTTATGCGACGAAAGCAGCAAACGGTGGGAGTGCCAGAAGCACCGTGGAGTTCGCACAAGCATTGTCGTGCCGCCGAGCCAGCCAGAATGATACGATCGTTTCGCAGACGTACCACTGAAGAGAAATGCCGGCAGGCATCGAGGAGGACAGTGACCGATTAGATGAAAGGATACATGAAGGTTCGACAAACATGGCGAGACTAGTGGACGTTCTGGCACGTGAGGTGTTTAGGTTCTGGGTTAGATGTGCAGGTTAGCAAGAGTCACTCACGAGAGTACGCCTAGGCAGGAGAACGTCAGGGTGACTGGATTCCCCGCCCCCGTTGGCTCGCCAGACTGGAGCAGCACGAGATGTCAAAGACCAGGATACATGTCTGAGGGCTGCGGGAGGAGCTGGTGAAGGAGGGAGGAGACGGAGGATCGGGGGCAACGGTGGGGGTGGATAGGCTCGGGGGGGATGCATCGATCCCCGGTCGCCCGTTGATCGCCGACGGTGGCCTGATAGCCCACCCCGCCCAGGCACGTGGGATTTCGCTATCACGGGCGCATTGCCGATCTATCGCGGATTCCAGCCCGATTGTTCTTCCGTGAGCTGGTCCCCTCCTTAACGTTGCCCCGCAGGGAAGGCGGAGGCTGGTGTATTGGCCGTGACGTTAGGGCAATGACTGGGAACGGAGTAGCATAATGGGTCAGGGTGGAGTTTCACGAGAAGGTCGAAGTTTGTTGCATTTGATAAGCGGCGTATTGCATGATGCGTTACTTCGGCACGCATAAACGTACATATACACACAATGTCCAGGTAGGATTGCCTGCGTGAGCCTGAGATCTATACATAGAGACATGGTCGCATACCTACATATGCATATAGGGTTGTACGTATGCGTGTATGTGTGTGTGTTTGCGTGTGTATGTATGTACGTATGTTTGTATATATGTATGTATGTGTGTATATATGTATATGTATATGTATATGTATATGTATATGTATATGTATATGTATAGGTATATGTATATGTATATGTATATGTATATGTATATGTATATGTATGTGTGTATGTCTGTGTCTATGTATATGTCTATGTATATGTATATGTATATATATATATGTGTGTGTATGTGTGTATGTGTGTATGTGTGTATGGGTGTATGTGTGTATGTGTGTATGTGTGTATGTGTATGTGTATGTCTATGTCTATGTCTATGTCTATGTCTATGTGTATGTGTATGTGTGTGTCATTTCATATAGAAGAGAAGCGCGGGATCGCGAATACGTCGTGCATGCACTGTTGACGGAAAGTACAGATGGCAGGGCAGGACCATGAGCTGCATTGGCTGAGCGGTTTCCCGTTGGTATCGTTGGCGCATGCGGCCGAATAAACTACGATACATATCCAAATTAAATATAAGTAAATTTGCCATGGGAATGTCGTGTATCAATTAGGCCAGCGGGCATCGGTCAGGACACGTGGACCGTCCGGCTGGAGGACGGTACCGACATGGTGGTTGGTTTGCCCGATCTACGGAGCGCTTGGATCAGATACGGGGATGGCGAGTGCGGGCGCGTGTTGACGTTTGGTTCGGCGCGCGGCTTGGGCACAAGTAGCGGGACGTGTGTTATGCGTTCCCTGTATATACGCTTGAGCAGATAGGGTTACGACATCCAGCTGTGTAGCCGCGAGTGCGGTTTTTAGCGAAGCAGTCTAGCAGCGTTGCACGGATGCTCCGTTGCCTCTTGGGGGGGGGTAGCAGGGCAAAGCGGAGGAGGAGGAGGAGGAGAAGAAGGCGGAGGAGCAGGAGAGGAGAAGAAGGTGCAGGAGGGGAGACAATGGAGGATAAATGACAACGATTCTGATGTTCCAACCTACTTTAGCCTTGATCACCAGAAAAAAATCGAGCACTAAAAGAAATACTGGAACTCGATGGTGTTCACGTGTCGGGCCTTGGGAGACATTCGCCCGACACTGTTTTGATACTCTTTCGACACTTTTCCGGGTGTTCGAAATTATTTCTGGGATGTGGTCTTTAAGTAGGATGGGGGCAACAGAAGACAACGAGTGGAGTCACCAGCTCTCTTTTTATGCATCCGTTGCCCTGCCGGACGGAAGTAAGGAATTTCACAGAAACGCATTGCCGCACCAAGGAGTTCTTGTGAAGTGTCCCAGGAGCCCAAAGTCGACAGTCGTATCGGAATGCAGGTGCGCAAAGTTGACAGTCTCGGCACCTGCTTTAGGACCCAGGTTCGAGAATCAAAGGAGTGAGGGCATCCAGCTCCCTCCTCCCCCCTCGCCCTCCTCGAGGGAGGGAGGAGGAGGTTCGCGGCGCAAGGGGGATCAAGATGGGGGAGGAGCAAGAGGATCGATAGTTGAGGGCAGATCGTCCTCCTCTTCATCAACCTTCTCCTCCCTTCGCACCCTCTTTTTCCCCATCGAAGCGTTGATCCTCGAGCCTGGGTCATCCTCCTCACCTTGGTGTTCTGTGGGGCGGGGTCAAATTGATTCCCTTTGGTGGAGGGGGGATGGCCGATTCCCTTTCTGGGTACAATTCGGTTCCGTGTGTGCGTGGGCTGCAAATCGATGTCCTTCGCGTGGGGGTGACACATCGATCCCCTTTGTGGGGGAGGCAATCATTGACCAGTCATGGGCCGTAGACGGCTTGCCTTGGGCCGTCGTGGCGTCGCTGCATTTTGTTGGTTGCCGTATTTGTTTTTGATGCGGTCGGTTTCGGTTTCCTTGTCGGTTTGGTCGGTTTTCAATTCCGTCGTCGCCGCGGGCGCCCAATGACAAGTCTCGGAGGCCAGCGGGGGACCGAGGCGATCGTGTACCCTATGCCGAATGCCCGAGCCAATGCGAGACGATTGCGTCATTTCCCCTTGCGAGGTCTAAAACGCTTTGACCTTGAGCCCGAGTCGAGTCTTTCTTCGGGGGGCGACTCGTCGGGAGCGTGGGGCGAACCATTGCTTGGAAAGGAGCAGCACATTCTGGAAAAGCGTACGGGGTCTGACGTGCATGTGTTCCCCATCGGAGGCGCGAGATTCCCTCCTCCATCCTTCACCCCCATCCCTCCTCCTCCATCCCCTTCTCCTCGTTCCTCCCTCCCCTCTCCCATCGTTTCTCCTCGGTCCCCTGTCTCCTTTTTCCTCCTCCCCTCCTTTCTCACTCCCCCCCTCCTTCCTCGATCCCGCAGCCCTCCCCTCCCTCCTCCCCTGTCCCTCCTCCTCCCCCACTGACCCTCTTCCCGCTGCCGCCGCCGACGCCGCCGCCTCCGATCGGGCAGGGGCGCCCTGGTCAGCCGCGCGATCTGGGACCTCCCCGGCGTGGGCACGCAGGCATTTCCACAGGAGACGCCCGAGACCCGCGATCGTCCCCTCTTCGGTTTCCTCCTCCTCCTCCTCCTCCTCCTCCTCCTCCTCCTCCTCCTCCTCCTCCTCCCCCCTCCCCCCTGCCTGGAGGCGATATGGGCGCAGGGCACTGAGATCTGGGCGTCGCTCGTCTGCCCCAGCTTCGTGCCCCAGGCCCATCACGGATCGATCGGGCCCGAGAAGTGTTCACAGAGGTGGAGCCTAAGGCTCTGGTCGTGATTCTTGACGAGGGTCTAATTCTGTTCGCGACGTCGGATCTCAGGGGATGACCCACGTGGGGAGCAATACATGTATCTAGGGGCACCGATAGTCCATGTCTTCGGCGAGACTCGTGGAGGAATGCGTGTAATGCTCATCCCCGGGCTATCCACCCCTATCGTCGCCTCTGATTTGCCCCCTCCTCCACAATACCCACCGTGGAACGACGACGACGACGGCGTCGGCGACGACGGCGACGACTAAGAAAAGCCAGGCGGGGTCCATCACGCCGCAGCACCCCAGGCGATGATTAATGGATTTGGGTTCGAGTTTGCTCGAGGGCGTCGTCGTCATCGTTGGTATTAGTTGACCGTCCTCTCCCAAATCTCCCCACAAGCGGCAGAAAACAATGTTTGAATCGTGATCCCAGTATTTTTGTCCCAACCTCCTGTATGATTGAGCCATTGCTCTGAATCCGCAGTGAGGGCTCCTGCATGTCGGCACCGAGCCCAATTTGGCGTTTCCTCTCACTCGTTTCGTGCCCCACACGGCCCTAGTGAGGGCGCGCACATGCAGGCAGCGCGCCCAATTCGGCGCACCCCTCACGCGGCTCGTGCCCCGTAGGAAGCTTGATTCATTGCCCCAGTGGGGGCGATAGCACGGGCATCGCGCCCAAGTGGGCACACTTATCACACTCGTCTTTGCCCAAGGAGAACTCCGACCACGGTCCTAGTGGTGGAGTTCGCACGACGTCGCCCCGTCCATTTCGGTACACCTCTTACGCCCATCGTGCCCAATAGGGAGCTCCACCTACGACCCCAATCGAGGCGCGCGCGCATGAGGACCACCCGCTCAATTCAGCACACCTGCCTCTCACACGCGTCTTCTTGTCCCCAAAGGGAGCTCAAACTGCGGCCCCAGTGAGGGGCGCCCGCATGCTTTCCCCTTCCAATTTCGGCACTCCCAAACGCTTCGAGCCCCCACAGGGAGGTCAGCTCGCCCCAACCCCCATAGGGTAGGTTCGTGTCGTGTGGACGCGGCGGCGACCCCGGCCTCGGGCGTTCAAGGTCGAACGCCGCCAGTGGCCCAGAATCGGCCAACATGGAACGACCTGGCGATCGAGAAACCGCCGATCGTTCAAGGTTGAGCGATCTACGCGGTGTCAGAAACCAACGCAGGGGTCGTCACGACACGAACCTGCCGTAGCATGGCACGAGCTCCATCCTTCCCGCGGCGCGCAGTACCTGTGGAGAGGGCCATGCCCCTGCGCCACGCGCAGCTGCACAGCCTTGGGTTCTTCGCCAGGCTCACTGTTCCGACTCGTCATCCTACAGCACGTGTGCGTGTTCCGTCCCGCCTTCCCCCCCTTTCATCGCGTCATCCCCTACTCCACTTGTTCTCAATTCTTCCCACCTGCCCCCCTTTCCTTGCCCGAAAGGCCCACACAAAGGGCGCACCTGCCCGCGACTGACCCGCATGGAGGAAGAATGTACTCAAAGCAAGACTCTGCTGCCAAAGCTTCGGTCAGGAGCGCGGAGCTCAAGATGCCCAGGATTCACAGTGGGGACCCATGCCAAGAAGCACCCTGCTTGTCTCCAGGGTGCCCTGGGTTTCTTGGGTTCAGATGGTTTTGCGATGGAAAGCGTGACGTCCGCGTACCAAAAATCAGTGGGCGCTTTGGGGGTCTCAGGGGTGGGTTTCCTGTGGACTGGCCTCCATTTGTACTCTCCCCATCTTCCTCTGGGGGCCCGCAGCGCGAGCGTGAATCACGGCGGGCCCCCTCTTCGCGAGACAAGCTCTTGGCCCGTCTGGCTCCTCCGGAGACCGGCTCTGGGGGGGCTCCCCGGTGGACCGTCCAGGGGGGGGGCCCTCGTGGGGCGCCGGCGGAGCCGTCCTGGAGGTCGCTTGGGCTGCCTTTGGGCCGCCTCAGGGGCCCGCCGGGGCCATCTCGGGGCCCTCCTGGGCCGTCGTGGGGCCCTGAGGGGCCTTGCTGGGCCGTCTTGGGCAATCGCTTCGCTCATTGAGCCGGCCCGTGTTGTCTCGCCGCTGTGGTCTGGCTCCTGGGAGATCCAGCGGGGTCGGGGGCCACGCACACCCATCTGGGACCTCGCTGCTCCCTGGCGGCTGGCATTTTCTGGAGGCGGGGCGTGGTGAGCGTCGCAGGGGGCCTTTTTGGGGGCCGTCTTGGGGTCATATCGTCGGGCCTGTGTGGGGTGTCAGAAGCCCGAGGAGACGAGAACGCCCAAATCGTTGAAACTGCCGGAGAATGAGTGCTAATTGTGTCTTGACAGTTCGGCGAGCCTCTTGGGCCTCTTGGGAGTCTGTTAGGAGCCTATGGGAGAATTCTTGGAGGTTTCGTGGGGCCTCATGGGCGTCTCTTGGGGCCTTCCTGGGGCACTTTTTGGGGAGCCTTAGGAGCCATCTTGGGGCCTTCTTGGAGGAGATCGATCAACGAGGAGGGGTACTCAACTAAGGCCCCCCCCAGGAGGCCAGCATTGGCACAAAACGCATTCAAAATCAAACGATACCGGAGAAAAAAACAATCAAAGTCTTTTCAGGGATATAGGGCTATGGGGTTATTGGGTTATAGGGCGATGGGGCAATGCGGCTATAGGGCCATAGAGTTATAGGTCTACAGGGCTATAGAGCTATAGGGCCATAGGGCTGTACGGCTCTAAGGCTATGGGGCTAAAGGGCCATAGGGACATAAGGCTATCAGTCTATACGGCTATGGGCTAGAGGAGCATAGGGCTATAGGGCTATAGGGCTACAGGCATTCAATTGTTTTATAAACAGAGGGCTATAAGGCTATAAGGCGATAGGGCTATAGGGATATAGGGATATAGGGCTATCGGGCTATAGGGCTATGGAGCTAGGGCTATAGGGTTATAGGGCTATAGGACTATAGGGATATAGGGCTATAGGGTTATAGGACTGTAGGGCTATAGGGCTATGGGGCTATCAGGCTATAAGGCTATAGGACCACCGGGTAATAGGGCTATTGGGCTACAGGGCTATAGGGCTATGGGGCTGTAGGACTATCGGGCTATAGGGCCATAGGGCTATAAGGCACCCGGGCAACCGGGCACCTGGGCACCGGGGCGGGCCGCGGAAAGCGGTGACAAACCTTGTCTAACCATATGAATCCGCTAGGACCCGCACAGAGGCAAGTTCTGAGTGGGGAAGAGTTGCGCCTTCTCGCTGAGACCTTCTTGGACGCTCTGACACCTTGCGGCCCCTCCACTCCAGTCCGAGGGGAGAAGGTCGAGGGAGGGATAGACCCCTCCCCGAAGGGGAAGAGGGAAACGGAAGAGGAAACTCCCTGCACCACTCACACTCAGAGGGCTGGTAAGAATACCCTCGCCCGCCCTTGCTTCTCTAAGCCCCATACACCATCCCTACCATCTCTCCTCCACAGTCGTCCACCCCTCATCATGCTCGTCCTCCTCACACTCCACAGCCATTTGGGCGCAGGAGACTGAATATCGGGCCCAGCCGCCCGCTGGCGCTCGGGCGCCCCCCGCCGCGGCCATGTCGCTGAAGCTGCAGAAGCGCCTCGCCGCCTCCGTGAAGAAGTGCGGCAAGGGCCGGATCTGGCTCGACCCCAATGAGGCGAGCGAGATTTCGATGGCAAATTCCAGGTTCAACATCAGAAAGCTGATCAAGGACGGCCTCATCATCCGCAAGGCCGTCAAGATGCACTCTCGCTCGCGGGTGCGGAAGAACCTCGAGGCCAAGCGCAAGGGCCGCCACATGGGCATCGGCAAGCGCAGGGGTACCAAGGAGGCCCGAATGCCCAGCAAGGTGCTGTGGATGCGCCGCCAGCGCGTGCTCCGCCGCTTGCTGCGCAAGTACCGCCAGCAGAAGAAGATCGACAAGCACCTCTACCATTACTTCTACCGCCACGCCAAGGGCAACGCCTACAAGAACAAGCGGGTGCTCGTTGAGGCGATCCCCGTTTCCCGTTTCCTAAACTAACAGAATCAAGCGCAATAGTTTAAATTTACGTAACACAGAACACGCAGTGTTAAGCAATGCAAATTGGTGCAGGCGATCCACAAGATGAAGGCCGAGAAGATGAAGGCCAAGGCACTCGCAGAACAGCAGGAGGCGCGCAAGGAGAAGGCGAAGCTCCAGAAGGCCAAGAAGGCGGAGAAGAAGGAGTCGTCATGAAGAGAGGGGCCTTGAGGTTTTGATCCCGTCACGGCCCCAGGGACCGTCAAAAACGGCTCAGGTGAAAAGCCAGTCCTGGAAAGCCGCCAGGGGGTTCAGGACCCCATTTCCCTCAGGACCCCCTCTATCGGTTCGGACGAAAGAGGGGGGGGGACAGGGGGGGGACAGGGGGGGACACGAAACCTGCGGCGTTTCGGCCCCGTCGCCGGGCGCTTCTCTCGATATATGGCTGTTTCCAGCGCCGGCAGGCGCCAGCAAAACCAGCCACGCAAGCCGATTCGCTAACCCCCCCTTCGATATTTCATCGCTTCGCTCATTCCGCCGGCCCATAATGTCGCACCGTGGTCGCCTGTCCGAGTGGTCGTTTGCAGTGTGGAGCTGCGGCGTCGGGAGCTGTGTAGTTGTCGATAAATTTGTTGTTGTTTTTTCATGGGGCTTCTAGGTGTTTGCAGTTTTTTGACGGCTTTGGTGCCATCGTGGGGGCGTGTTACCCGTGGTATCCCGTTGTGGGGCCGTTCGAGCCGGGGGAAGAGACATCTTATGCGACAGGGGAACCCTCGTGTCGGAGGGTGGCGGGTTTTGATTTTTCTGCTGTTTTCTAATGTGGGGTCCCCGGAAGTCGCGACCCCTTCCTCAGGGCCTACTTTTCATCCCAAGCCGTTTTTTGACAGTCCTGGGGCCCACCGAGGGCCCCCGCAGGCCGAACATGTTCCACAAAAGATCGAGTCGTGTTTTCTCATGGCACGAGCATGTCTGGGAGGAGGCAGAGGAGGAGAAGGAGGAGGAGGAGGAGGGGGGGATGATGATGATGATGATGATGATGATGATGATGATGAGGAGGAGGAGGAGGAGGAGGAGGAGGAGGAGGAGGAGGGAGAGGAGCCGTTCGTCCGACCCGATTGTTATCTCGTGCTTACAGGAGACGCTGCTGCGCCAGGCTGAGGGCAAGTGAGCCGGGCTCCCGGGGCTTGGCCGAGCGACGACCGCAGCGGCACGACGGGCGCCCGGCAAAGAAGAGGCTTCGTCGTCCTCGCTTTCTTCCTCTCCAGGCATCCCAGATGGGGTCAGAGCGGATGGGGTCTGAGGATCGCGGCGCATCGCCGATGTATCGGATACGCGGCTCGATGTGGAGCCCGATTTTCTTCACGTCGATGTCGCCGATGCATCGGCGGCCGATGTGTCGCCAACGCATCGGCGGCTCGGTGTTCTCCATCGCCCGCCTTCGAGGCAGATCGAGGCAGAAAACACCGCGTAAACATGAATGTCGGAGCTGGATGTCTTGGCTCTGCGCTGGGCCACCCGGGGCGTCGCTTCTGGCGCCGCCCTTGGCGCGTTCCGCGCGCGAGGGAGGGAGGTTCAGCGCAGATCCAAGACAACCGCGCGGACCTCTGGTTGGTAATGTTTGTGCAGTTGTTTCTTATCTCTTCCTCTACTCCTGGCATGCCCCTCCTGCTGTCGGGGCAATGTTTGGGGGCATTTTCCCCTGGGTGGATGTGCATCGGCCCCCAATCGCCGATCGGAGGTGAGGGGGTGAGATCGAAGTGGAACGGAGAGCCCCCCTACCGGGAAATCGGTTTCGGTTTCGTGTTCGTGCGTGCCGTGCGTGCGGGCGAGGCGAAGCTGCGTGGGCGGGCGAGAAGAAAGTCTCCTCTGGCTGAGGCGCGGCCGGACCAAATGATTCCTCTCCGGGGCCGGTGGCCCGCGGTGTCCCGCCGGTGTCCCGCCTCCGGCTGAGGCGCGGCCGGACCAAATGATTATTTTCCGGGGGCCGGTGGTCCGCAGTGTCTCGCCGGTGTCCCGTCGGTGCCCCGATGATGATGATGATGATGATGATGATGATGATGATGATGATGATGATGCCGATGATGTTGATGATGATGTTGATGATGATGATGATGATGATGATGGTGATGGTGGTGATGACGATGGTGTCCCGTTGGTGATGTTGATGATGATGGTGGTGATAATGATGGTGTCCCGATGATGATGTTGATGATGTTGATGATCATGATGATGTTGATGATGATGAGATCTTGAGATGATGATGATGATGATGATGATGATGATGAAGATGATGATGATGATGATGATGATGGTGATGATGATGATGGTGCCCCGATGATGATGCTGAGGTTGCTGATGATACTGTTGATGATGGTGGTGATGATGATGGTGGTGTCCCGATGATGATGATGATGATGATGATGATGATGATGATGATGATTATGATGATGATGATGATGATGCTGATGTTGATGATGATTGTGTCCAGATGATGATAATGAGGAGGAGGATGATGAGGTGATGATGATGATTTTGATGATGGTGGCCCGATGATGATGATGTTGATGATGATGGTGTCCCGATGATGATGGTGATGATGATGGTGACGATGATGATGGTGTCCCGATGATGATGATGTTGATGATGATGATGATGTTGGTGATGATGATGGTGTCCCGATGATGATGATGATGATGATGATGTTGATGATGTTGTTCATGATGGTGATGATGATGAGATGATGATGACGATGCTGATGATGATGATGATGATGGTGGTATTCCGCTGGTGATGATGGTGTCCCGATGATGATGTTGATGATGATGGTGACGATGATGGTGTCCCGATGATGGTGATGATGATGGTGATGATGTGATGATGATGATGATGATGGTGTCCCGATGATGGTGATGATGATGTTGATGACGTTGATGACGATGATGTTGATGATGATGGCGCTGATTGTGAGATCGATTGTGGTATCGATAGTGAGATTGATAGTGAGACCGAATGTGAGATCGATTGTGAGATCGATAGTAAAATCGATAGTGAGATCGATTGTGAGATCGATAGTCAGATCGATTGTGAGATCGATCGAATGAAATAGATCGAGTGAGATCGATTGTGAGATCGATCGAGTGAGATCGATCGAGCGAGACCGATAGTGAGATCGATAATGAGATCGATAGTGAGACCGATTGATTCAGACGTTGGTTCCTCCCCCCCCCCCCGAACCTCCTTATCACCCGAAGGTTGGTCGTATAGGTAGATTATCCCGGCCAGGCATGGGCGGCTTCACAATCAAGAGCCTGTCGGCGATGCATCGCCGACGAAAGCTCCTATGTTTCCCCCCCGAGCCAGTGCCCCCGTACCGTTCCCCGTCGTTCTGGCCCCACTACTCAGCAGATGTACACGGACTCCTCCGCCCCCTCCTCCTCACCGCCAAAAGCAACCCCATCCTCTCCTCACATCCGCAGCCTCCCCGTCCTCCTCCCCCCTCATCCTCCTATTTCTCCTCGTCATACTTCTCCTCCTTCCGCCTCCTCGCTGTCCCTCGCCATCTCTCTCGTTCGTTCCGCAGCGGCTTGAAGCGTGCCTGCCGGTGCAGGAAATCGTGCACAGACACCCCTTCTGGAGGCGCGCCGATCAGGATCGTGCACGGGCACTCCTCCTGGAGGGAGGAAGAGAAGTGGATGGGGGGACGCGTGGGTCAGGCCAGCTTCCTAAGCCTCCCTGGCCAGAGAGGCCCGACAAACCGACTGGCCAAGGCGTCCGCACGATCCGGTCTCCTTGTCTCTGGCTCCGCGTGCCATGGCTCGATGGCTCGCCATGGCATCGTCTGGCTATCGTCTGTCTCCTCCTCCGCCTCCTCCTCCTCCGCCTCCTTTTCCTCCTCCTCCTCCTCCTCCTCCTCCTCCTCCTCCTCCTTCCCCTCCTGCTCCTTCTCCTGCTCCTCCTCCCCCTCCTCCTCCTCCTCCTCTCCTCCTCCTCCTCGTTATCCTCCTCCGCCTCCTTCTCCTCCTCCCTCTCCTCCTCCTCCTCCTCCTCCTCCTCCTCCTCCTCCTCCTCCTCCTCCTCTCCTCCTCCCCATCCTGCTCCTCGCCTCCTCCTCCTCCTCCGCCTCCGCCTCCTCCTCCTCCTCCTCCGCCTCCTCCGCCTTCCCATCCTCCTCCTCCTTCTCCTTCTCCTCCTCCTCCTCCTCCTCCTCCTCCTCCTCCTTCTCATTATCCTCCTCCTCCTCCTCCTCCTCCTCCTCCTCCTCCTCCTCCGCATCCTCCGCATCCTCCGCATCCTCCGCATCCTCCGCATCCTCCGCATCCTCCTCCTCCCCCTCCTCCTCCCCCTCCTCCTCCTCCTCCTCCTCCTCCTTCCTCCTCCTCCTCCTCCTCCCTCCTCCCCTCCTCCTCCTCCTCCTCCCCCTCCTCCCCCTCCCTCCTCAGCCTCCTCCTCCTCCTCCTCCTCCTCCTCCTCCTCCTCCTCTCCTCCTCCTCCTCCTCCTCCTCCTCCTCCTCCTCTCCTCCGCCTCCGCCTCCGCCTCCGCCTCCGCCTCCGCCTCCTCCTGCTGCTCCTCCTCCTCCTCCTCCTCTTCCTCCTCCTCCGCCGCCTCCTCCTCCTCCTCCTCCTTGTCGGCAGCAACGCTACGGGGCGCGACGCGCGAAGTCGGGAGTCCTAGGAGGAAGCAGTCGGTCGGCCAGCGGACTCCCCATCGAAAACGTCGGATGCCCCGAAGGGCTCTGGGTTCCCGCACGGACTGCAGGGCACTTTGGGAAGTTCAAAGATCGATTGGAGGCGAGAGGAGCGAACGAGGAGGGAGGAGAGAGGAGGAGCAAGGCCGAGGAGATGGGAGGAGTAGGAGTAGGAGGAGGAGGAGGAGCAAGGCGGAGGATGGGGGAGGAGGGACCTTAGAAGGTTCGTGGATCGACGGCAGATTTGTGTTGTGGATTATTTGCAGCAGATGGCCCTCGGTCTCTCCCCGCGACGCGCGTGTCCATCGGCTGCGCTGCCCTGGTCGTCGCTGGTCCTTGCGGCATCGTCGTCGTTGTCGGGCGGTGTGTGTGTGTGTGTGCGGGTGAACCCTCACGGGTCGGGCGGGCGGGTTGGGCGAGGGGACTTTACAGGAATGCTCAAACGCATCGGCGCCTCATCCTGCGCCCCAGCCGTTGCTTGGATTGTTAGTGCATTGTTTGTTTTGGTGGCCTCTTGAGGCTCTCTGAACGCTGCCAGGGGCCATCTTAAGCCGCGAGGTTTCAGAACCACGAGGCGATGATTCCTTTCAGACATGTCAAAAAATATGTCGTCTTCGGGAATCTCGCTGGAGGCTTTTTGGGGCATGTCTTGGAGGCGTTGGGGGACTCTTGGTGCACATTGGGGACATCTTCGGACCGTGAAGTGCTCGCTGGATCGTGTTGGGGTGGTCGTCGGGCGTCTTGCAGCCGCTGTGGGGGTTCATTGGGCCGCACTGGAAGCCGGCTAGAGACCGAAAAGGGAGCTTGGAAGCAATCCTACATACCGTGGTTGGTTTTATGAGCCCGGTCGCGAATAGGGAGGGTCGCCCTTGGAAAATGACAGAACCCTTACTGGACACTTGTCCAGCATCCGAACATCCCGCAATCGCGCAAGCGCGGCAGCTGAGATTAGAAGTGTGATGGTCTGGTTCCCGCGCGGACCTGCTTCCGATAACTTGTGGGCACGAAGATGCTGGGCCCAAACAGGGGCAACACTTCCAGGAAAAATCTGCGCGATGCTGAGGCGAGAAGAACATTCCGGCCTCCCGCGCGCGAAGGGCACCGCGCCCCACTCTGCCGCGCGATTTGCAGTGCCGGCGGCAGCACAGTGCGCGTTTCATGCCCCCGAGCGGCTGTAACTCGCAGTGCGCTGCATGGTGGAGAGGGGATCTCCAGGATGGCCGACACTGCCCCACAGAGGCGGTGGAGCATGATCCGAGCACGATGAAGGGACACTTGCTTGCGCAGGAGACGTACCTGAAGAGGATGGGCATCCGCCACTTCGACGCCGTCATATTGGTGACGGCGTCTCGCTTCACAGAGGCCGTGGTGCGCTCCATGTTGTTCACAAGCATTCGGCTCACTTACGGTCGTTTGTGATTATTGGGCGCTGTCCATTTGATCATTTTGCTTGCTGCAGAGGAGGCACAGAACAGAGAAACAT